GAGGTGCAGGTGTGGGATACAGTAGGACATCCTGTGGTGGGGGCAGCTGAGGTCACTGGAAAGGCTGAAAGGCCCTGAACACAGCCAAGATCTTTGTCTCCTGGGCTGTGGTTGTTCTCTCTGCAAATGATGCCTGAGGAGACATCATTATTGCACCAGGACTTCATTGCCTCCTCATCGCAACCTGTGAGCCTAAGAAAGACGGTGCCATAGTTCTGCTCTAGGCATTGCACATCCGCACTTCACACTGCCCCAGCAAGAGCCCTGAGCAACACCTGAGATCTCTCCTAGCAGAAGCTGGGGGTCACGGCTTGATCCTGTGACTTAATGTAACATATCCAGGCTTGCTCAGCATCAGAGCCATCTTTTCCTTTCCTCAGCCTACCTGTCATCAGTGCCTCTAGTTTTCTGCTCTAACCAGCCCTCAGGGCTGCTTTGTCAGTAATGACCACCATTGGGACCCACTAGTGCTCGAAGAAGATTTGGAGTTTGCATCTGCCTTTGACTTCTTGAGAGGTTTCTTCAACTTCCTCTCAGCATCTGAGGTTCACAGACTCAGCATCAAACCCATCAGAGGGGTCATTAAAATGCCTTGGGCTGGTCTTCTTCTGAGCTCCTGGAACGAAGGTGGCTCATGGCAAGCGGGTGGGACTGCAGAAAAATAGCTCTGCACAGAGACAGCTCAGCACTGCCTGCAGGCGCTGGGAAGAGAGGAGTGAAGCAGAGAGAGGTTAAAGGCAGCTACGAGTGAGAGGAAGGCTAAGAGCTCACTGTAAGAGGAATCTTCAGAGCCCTTTACATGGTAAGTCTCCAGCTGTAGGCTAAAGGAGATGCTGTTCGTGGAAGGCTCTCCTAAGGCTGGCAGTCCATCGCTCACGGGATCTGTAAGGAGACACCTTGTCAAGCCAAGCATTCACCCAGGTGTTCTAGGGCTGACCTTCCAGAGCAGAGTCTCTGTGTCCAAGGGGGCTGTGTGCCAGGGAAGGGACTCTGCCACCTGCCAGGGTCAGCACTCAGCCTGCCCAGGGAGTTCCTCACCGTGCTGTGGGGATAAGCTATGGGTGGAAGGGGTGACCCCCCCCAGCAGCGGCAGGGTCTTTCTGCTGTTGAGAGGGCTCTGTGTGCCAGGGCTGCTCACAGCTCCAGATCATCCCGGGGACATTTCCCAGGGCACTGTTCAAGCAGCACATGAAGGCAGGGACTACCTGGATAGAAAGGTGCTTTCCAGGGTTGCTGCTCTCAGCTTTCTGCTGGGATGGCAGGAGAAAGTGGTAATGGAGCTGTCAGGTTTGCACAGGGGAAGGAGACTCCTGCAGCATTACAGTGAGTGATGAAGAAGCTTTTCAAGGAACCTGATAAAGTAACTTCTCTCTTTCCTTCACCTACATAAAGCATTAAGGTCAATTTTTTTGTCTCTTCAGGGTTTATCTGATCTTGTCTTTCGGACTTGGAAGCAGAGATATCTCCCTGGGCATTTCCCTGCTGCCAGGAGGTGTCTGCAGGACAGAGCTGGGCACAGAGCGGAGTGGGATGGGGTCTGTGAGCACTGACAGGGAGGAGACACCCAGGCACAGAGAAAGAGACCTGGGCAAGGGGTGGGGGGAAGCTGAAAACAAGCACTTGGGGGAGAGTATGTTCCAGCACTCCTCTTTTGGTCCCTCACTGTAAATGTCTTCTGGATGTCAGCTGCTGGGCAATGAGCTCACTCTCCCCTTAGGACAGCCCATCCTCTGGACCCCTGCCTGTCTTCTTTGTCTGCCCTGTTGGGCTTGCGAGCTGCCCTCCAGAAAGGCACAGCTCTCCTGTAGGATCCCAGGGAGTGCTGAGCTTTCCCTTGGAAAACAGTACTGTCCTCTCAGAGTCCTTTGCTTCTTTCCATGAGGGATGGCGTCCTTCTCCATCCCAGCTCGATCTCTGGGCATGGACAGAGAAGAGTTTGCAGATCTGCATGTTGAAACAGTTCTCCCCAGCTGTCATTGGAGTCCAGTTAGTTTTGTTGGTGTTTTAAAGAGCAATTCGTGTGTGCAGTCGTCCTTGAGGCAGAACAAGTGAAAGTGCAGGGCAGCTGGGAAGAAGACTGATGTACTCAGCAGCATTTCTGACTATTGTCTAAGCCACAGACAGGTGGGCCCTGTTGCCTGTCCTGTCATAAGACTGTTCACAAGCCTGGTTACAAATGCCAGAAATTCTACCCCCAATAACGGCACTTGCCAGATGTGATTGTAGAAAAAAAAAAACCACAAACCTTAGACAAAATCATTTTAAAGTCGTTCAAAACCTCTCTTCTGCAGCCGACAACCTTCAGAGATTTGAGTACAGATATTGAACTTTTCTTACATCTGATATCCCTTATTCAGCCTGAAGAAGAGAAGGCTGAGAGGGGACCTTATAAAAGCCTATAAATATCTTAAGGATGGGTGTCAGGAGGACATGGCCAGACTCTTTTCAGTGGTGCCCAGCGACAGGACAAGGGACAAAGGACAGAAATTGGACGCTAGGAAGTTCCACCTGAACATGAGGAAGAACTTCTTCACTCAGGGTGACGGAGCACTGGAACAGGCTGCCCAGGGAGGCTGTGGAGTCTCCTTCTCTGGAGATATTCAAGACCCGCCTGGACGCGGTCCTGTGCAGCCTGCTGTAGGTGACCCTG